CAGCGGCATGCTAGGTCTGAGAGCCGGTTTATGGCGTGGTTCCGTGCTTTGGGGAGAGCTTGTCATGTCGACCCCAGCATCGTCTCAGACTCCGATTGATGCTCAGGGAAGTCTTCTTACCCTTCTGTTCTTTATTTTGATATGCCATGGGGACATGCCATAATTTTAAGTGTGGGGTGGGAGACTTGCTCTGGTAGTGTATTGTAGTGTATATAGACATTGAGTATGTTGTAATATTAGATTGTTGTTGTTGTGTATAATTGACTGTACTCACATGAGAATTAACTGACTTGGCCCAACGACGGACACTTATCGACGGGTCTCTTGAGGGTCAAAGTCAGATAAAAAAAAATTTGTAGAGGACTCTTTCTGAGGACGGACCACTTGGACAGTACTCTTGAGGGAAGCAGTCCAGGTAGATTTTTCTTTATTTTATTTTATTTTTAGGTAGTGTAGTAATTCTCCCTTGGTTTTTCTTTTGACCACGGTTCTTTTCCAAGGGCTTTTCTTGAACCGGGTTAGGTAGATTTTTTTTTTGTAGTTTTAGGACCAAGATGCGTGAAGGCTAGAATGCAACCCTAGATGTACACACCTGAGAATAACAAAAACGAACTGAGGGTGCGACGTCTAGGCTCGTTTGTAGACTCATACTTTGATGCCTTAATTTTGCACATCTTGTCTTGCTTGAACGCTCGTATGAGTGTGTTGATAAACTGATTCGGAATGAGTTACATGCCAAGTGTGTGTGAGCTATTACTTGCATTCTGTGCTTGCATGCGATACCTAGAACTTGCCCTGTGTGTTTGCAAAGCGAAATAGAAGCTGTTTGGTTTTAGAGATGATTGAGGCATTTCTTTGTATAGCATGTATAATTGTGAATCCACCTGTACATATTGCCATAGTTAACCCCTTTGAGCCTGAAGCCTGTTCTTTGATAACCCTATAATAACTTACATCCCTGTGTTTGAGTAGTTTGACTGCTTGATCCTGTACCTCCTAGAAGCACTTGAATTATTAAAGAACATACAAAAGTCAAAGTGTGGGGTAGTAGGGGAGTGGAAAAAGGGGAATCAGGAAAGAAATACTTGAATGGTGCAATGGCTGTTAAAAAAAACGATAAAAAAAGAAAGAAAAGAAAAGAAAAGAGAAAAAGGCCAGTGCACCTAAAGAAAAGTGGGGGGCAAATATGCAACAAAATGTGGAAGAACGATTGGGCTAAACATGGAAGTTGAAACAAAAGGAAGTTTGTATTAAAAGTGCTTAGGGAGGTTAGTCACTATATCCAAATATATCCTACCCGTCCCTTAGCCTACATTACAAACAAATAAAGACCTTTTGATCTTTGACCGAACAGCTCGATTAGTAGAGTATTACACTAGGGGCAAGCTTATGGTGTATCTGTGTGGCATGTGAATGTTCTTTGCTGAGAGTGAGTGAATTCTGTCTATCTATGGTTCCTTGTTGCTTAATTTATTGTGTGTGGAACTTCTCTCAGATTTGTGATGTGAGGGCATGTGACTCGGGAAGAAAAAGTGAGTTTTCACCTCTGTTAGAGTAACTAGAGTAAGCACGAGTGTGTCATGGCGTTAGAGTCTGCATCTGAGTGTGACTGTTGCACTGCTTAGGTTATTCGTTCATAATGGCGGGTATAGCATAAACTTGGGGCAATGCATCCAACGGTTAGGCCTAGAAGTGTGGTTTAATTTACTCGAGGACGAGCAAAGGTTTAAGTGTGGGGTGTTGATAATAGGTGAATTTAACTATAATTAGGCCCTAAAGAACCACCTTCTTGTATAGTTTTGATGATAAAAGTGATAACAAAATGCTCTGATTAGTGCTTTTCATGCTTTGCAGGTGATATATGACAAGAGAAGGCTATGTAGTACTTTTGGGATCAAATATGGAGAAAAAGAGGCCAATCGTAAAATTTTGCCAAGAGAACCAAGCGAAGCAGCTCAAGCCAGGCCTGAAGAAGGACTGCCGCGGTTCCACCGCGACCGCGGCAGAACCGCGGTAGAAGACTGTCGCGGATAAGTTGAGATTCAGAGAAGGTGTGTGGTCGCGGTTTGACCGCGACCGCGGCAGAACCGCGGCAGAGGCGGAAAAGTTCAGGGACTTAAGTGCAAAACACTGAATTTTTAGCCCAAAACCCTATTTTAAATACTAGACTTCGCCCAAAGGAGGCAGGATTTGTATTGGAGAATTTTTTAGCAAGCAAAACAATTGTGAGAGATCACCTAAAACATCATATCTTCTTCTTCTTTAATTTTTCTTGCAAGTATGATTATGAATATTGTTCTAGTTTATTTACCCATAGTCATGAGCAGCTAAATATTTTGTCTAGGGTTTTGATGGAACCTATTGAGGGATGAACTTCTTGTTTATGTGAATACAGTTTGCCAGTTTAATTTCTATTTGTTCAACTACGTGTTTGTTGTAGTTAATTGACAGGATCCTCAATTAGTTGTGCCTATTTAGTGTGCATAACTCGGGAGAGAGTGCATATTTAGGTGAATGTTGAACAACACCACTCTCAAAGTATAAGAGGGATCTATAACTGCGGATTTAAAGGCGGGATTAGGAATAACAAAGTCTTGGGTGCAATCTTAAGTGAACTGTGATAAATAAAGCTAGCTAGTGTATCTCGGGAGAGTGCATTTAGTAAATTACTGTGATTACTCGGGAGAGATTTACAGTAAGAAGAGTGTTCATGATTGATAGAATGTGTTGGTGAATTTGTAGGAAACATAAACGGAAGGAATTCCATCAATAGGGGAAATCAGTACCTTAGCACTTTCTCATTATTGTTTACAGCTTAGCATCTTTAATTTACAGCTATTAGTTACTGTTAATCTTAGTTATTAAAAACACCATCAACTGTGATTCTCAACGTTTGGGAAATTGATTCTAAGAGTTTAGTAGGTCTAAAGATAGTGATTGATAGGTTAATTCTCTGTGGATTCGACTCTGGGCACAATACTCAGGTTATATTTACAACGCCCGCATTGTCCTTTTTATAAGGCATAGTTGGGCGTGATCAGTAAGAAGTTTCCAGTTTACCCTCATCTCACCCAAAGTGGCTAACCATTCCATTCCAATACCACATTAGTTCCAGTTAATTCAAATAGAAAATATTGTTGGTGAATTTTTACTCCCTACACGTCCAACCTCACCCCTTTGCATACTTCATTCCCACTAACTTGTTGACCATTACCAACTGTTACTTCAAATTTGTTTGTCTTCTCAATAGGTAATTGCAGATGACGAGCAAGCTTGGAAGATATAAAATTATGGGTAGCTCCGCTATCCACCAAAACTATCACGTCATGCCCATGAATTTTTCCCACAAGTTTCCATGTTCTTTCTCCAGTAAGGCCCACAACCGAATTCATATTCAACACCATCGTAGTAGCCTTTTGTTCTCCTTCATCTGCGGCCTCTCCGGCGACCTTAAAGAATTCTTCTGTTTCCTCTTCCTCAGTATTAGGTGCCTCTAAAACAATCAAGAGGTTAAGTTGCTTATTCTTGCAACGATGGTTAGGGCCAAATTTTCGTCACATCTGAAACATAACCCTAATTCTCTTTTTGGGCAATTTCTGAATCGGACAGCCTTCTAAATCGTCCCTCGAATTTTGCTGCAGAAGACACGTTGAAGCCAGTTGGCTTTGCTGAAGCATGCAATTGCGAATCAATGTTGCGTCCTGCTGCTCCGACTCTTGAATCACGTGCTTCAAGTACATTTGTGACCTGAGAGTAATTGGGTATAAACCCAACTTGTTTGTTGCTTGAACTGCGTCTATTTGGTTCAGATCTAAACACTTGAACTTGTACCAAAATAGAATTTCGATCCTCTACCTTTTGAGCCATCTCCATTATCTCCCTCAATGTTTGAGCTCGCAAAAAAATCACTTCTGCTCGCATTTCCTCTTAAGACCATTCGAAAACACTCCAGATAATAGTCCATCAGATTCCTCCCTCATAGAACCTATCACCTTCTCAAATTCTTCATGAAACGCTGCAACAATGGTGTTCTGCTTTAGCCCAATTAAGACAACATATTGGTTGCTCTTCTGTGAATGATGAAATCGGTTTAGCAGCTCTCTTTTGAAGTCTTCCCAAGTTGGAACTGGTTGTCTAGACTCTAACCAATAATACCAATTTAAGGCTTTTCCTTCTAAACAAACACCGGTTGCCTACAATCTTTCTGCTTTAGAAACATCATTCACTGCAAAGTATCGTTCCACTCTAAAAATCCATCTCATAGGATCCTCTCCTTCGAAAACCGGTAGCTGTAGTTTCCGAAATTTCTTCGCATCTTTTTCTCCAGCCAAGTTAACATTACTTCCCTCTTCTTGGCTTACTAAAATTCTGGTTTGAGAAGTGGATGCTTCTACAATCACAGTTCTCCCTTGTGCTTCAATTCTTGCAAGAGACTCTCATTTCTTTGAATCATCCTTCCAGCCTTCTAACATCTTCTCTTACCCCAGTCAAATTAGTTTCCACTTGCTCAACTCGTGCCTCCATTTTACTCCTTACCATACCCGTACGCCACCGCTCTGATACCAAATTGATAGAGTTTATTGCACAAATAGAAAATAACACGAAGAATACACTGAAAACATAGAATCTACTTCAACAAAGTCTGAGAATAACCACTCCAACACCGATAACTCCTAAATTACAGCATATAACATTCTAGACTGAATAGAAAATGACTAAAATCAATACTAGCGACACAGAGCCAAAATACATATTACTAAGATTACGTAGCCATGAAATTTCTAGACATTCGAGAGGCTAGAACTCTCCCAAGGATTCTTTATTTTTCTCTTGAATATTTTCCCCTACTGCTTTTTTCTTTATTTTTCTCTTGAATATTTTCCCCTACTGCTTTCTTCTTTCTCCGAATAAAACTGCCCAACATATGAGTAACTGTCAACATTACTAAGTTTTCAATTTGTTATTTTTTGGCCCTCCTGGAATAAGTTTTTATAACAGCCTTATCACAATCACAATTAATAACCTCTCAAAAATGTACCACATACAAAATGGTCTACTGAAAGTGCTCAATACAAAATGACAACTTTTCTTGGTTCCTTGAGCTAAACTATCAAAATTTGGTGCTAAACTAGAAAGGATGTAAATCAACTTAATATCAAACTTTACCTATGATACAAAAGCAAAATGGTACAGTTGCCCCCTGCACCCACCCCCCTCTGTTTTTAGTCCTTTTTTTTTTTGGGGGGGGGGGGGGGGGTTGTATATTCTGCATTCCTTGGGGAAATCAGTTTTCTAATTTAAACGAAACAAATTGCTCTCTTTCCCTCAAAAAGGTAAAGGCAGAAGGCTGCAGTTAAGAGCAACACAATCTGAATTGAGCCAACTCAAGCTTCAACCTTGGCCACCTTTCTCTGTTCTACTTGACCTGTTAGAGGGCATTGCATTTCTGTCCAGCTAATTGGAACCATGGTACCACCTGCAAAAATTTACCGAGCACCTTTTAGGAACCTAAACCCTGCAATCCTAGGCCATCCGTAACATGTAATGGTTTAATAAATAACATTTTCCTAAATATGCGGAGCAGCTTCTGCAACTAAACAGGCTATGATATCAACTCAAACTGCATCTAGCATCCAGCAAGATGGAAATGCAAAGATCTTTATACAACTATCCCCTCCATATATGATAATGTTAGGAATTCAAATTTTCTCCGTTTGGAGAAAATGTTTGCACAAGAAAGTTAACTTCTAATTGACCCATTTACTAGACAGTTAACATGCCAAATTACTCAGGTTAATGTCTGTTGATAAATTAAATTTATCATTTGGCAGCGTCCTCAACGACGATCATTTCAAGTGGAATTACTTTGGTAAGCGAGAGGGTCAGTCGTGTTCTGAATCAAATTTAAAAAGCACTGACAAAGTTGAAAGAATATAGACCATCAAAATAAAAAGAACAAACAAACAGGATAGTTGATGAAGAAAGCCTTACCAGCTGCACTTTCAGCAGATACAACACCCAGCTCATTTTTTGCAGTTGACAGATAATATGCCCGTGCATCTCCAAGTGATAGCTTTTCAAGAAAGAATATAAAGAAATTATACTCAATACTGGAGCAAGTCAACACACTTCACAAACAAGTTAAGTTCCAAGAACAACTAAGATTCCCCAATATTGCCAACTCTAAGTAGGAAAGGCCAATGGCTCGTATGGATTCTCAAGATGGACTAAAATGCAACTGCAGCCCTCTACTACCACTTCAACCCATTAACCTAACTAAAGCACATATATCTTCAGAATTTGGGATTTCAACCTTATACTATCCACCTGTTTGCCTTTTTTACTTCAGTTCCCTGGACAATAGTACTAGCTCTTTACATTGCCTTAGGTGACCTCTGGGGATTAGCATTCACTCAAAAAATTTAATCTTGTATTAGTCATAAAGTTTAACAGGAGATTACCACCAATGCACGAACAATATCACCCGGACGGAAGGACAAATGCATGTCGACTTTGTCAATCTCAGTCGCTCTCACATCCTGTTGCCTGTTGATTCAAAAGAAAGTTTTAGATTTTCTGTGCCAAAATCTTGCAGCACTGTAGAGTACCAATGAATGTGCATATAAAGCAAGTCAACACAGTAAAGACTGGGGAATCTGTTAGTCTTGGTAATCTGGTAAGTTTACACCTTAAAATTTAAGGCTCAGTTCTGATACTATTTAGTACAATATCTAACATATTGCTATCTGAAAATAGCAACTACTGCAATTCAGCATAGAGATGTAATTAATTAAGGTGGAGACAGAGAGCCCCATGTGAGATTTGAGCACCAAGATAAACAATAAGGAGGGTTGTTAAAGTGGAAATTGGTTTTTAATGGTCTGCAGCATCATGATCTACGAGCAATAGACTGGCTTTATGGTGGATGCATGACAAACCAACCGGGCGGTCTTTATTGGAAAGGAGAAACTTCATACCAAAGATTCTAACCTCCAACCTCCAATGTAATAAAGGGAAATACATTTTGCTTACTTGACACAATTCACAGATGAAGTTGAGAAATTTGACAGCTCCAAAAATAAAGATTACATGTTAATTTTACACGGATAACCACTAGACTACATTTTCCCGCACTATTTAACCTGGCACTACGCAATATTTAGAGTATCAAATCACCCTCTTCTTTGGGGAAGCCTTTATCCCCCTTTTTTTTTAACTCAAGACCTATGCGAAGACCTTATTAAGCATCAATTTTACTCAGATTGTAAGATTAATTCAAAGAGAATAATCCATACAAATGTAAGAAAAAACAAACAAAATTGAATAGTATAACAATTACATCATTCAGTTTCAACATAATATATTTAACTTTGAACCAATGACACACCAGTCCGTAAAATAGCAGTAACTTTATGACCTATGATCATCTCATAAAGCCCATTTTCACAGCATCAATGCAACAATGTGCAATTCCATCATTATAATTGTATTGAGCAGAGGTTTCAAACTAAAATGTAGACCGTCAACCACTTTCAGCAAATCTATCATATTTTGCACTTTGTGACATTTGGAGCAGTTGGTAATATTATATTATGTACAAAATTAGCATGAAAAAACCAGTTAGCAAACTTAACACCTTTTTAGCCACATTATCTGAATTGTCCAACAACCATAAGCATGAGATGATCTGTGTCAAAATTCGTCCTTTTTATTAATAAGTACATTCAGGGGTGCAACCTGTACAAACAAGTGTAGAAAGACCAAATACTACATAGAGCCTCAATTATATACACTATATATTACCAGAACATGCTCTGATCTATCTCCTATGACAAAAAGACCATATTAGGTAGAAATATTCCTCTTGAAGCAGAAAATTATCCAGTTAATACAATTTATTTTTCAGCGCAATTATCATCGAAATCGTGGCATGAAGAGCACCACTCCTATCTTGCCATTCTCCTATGACTAACCTACACCAACCATTGATTAAAAAAATGTGTCACACCAGTAATACTTTATATTCCTTATGTCTAGTACTTCATTACAATAGCAACTTTCTGTGAAGTAAGGCTCTGTATTTCGCCCCAACAGAGTTCTTCAGCATTTTGTCCAAAATACATAAGGAATAAGACTATTGATGAAATCACTAGTCAAGAGTCAACCTAAACCTGTGGTCATATATTTTAAACCGAAAAAGAAATCAATTTAACTAACCTAATAATGCCGGTGAATTTCTCACGTACAGACTTGGAATCAACACAAACTATGTCTGCTGAAGCCATTCTAGGCATCACCTTAGTGACCTGTCAAAAAGATATATACTTATTAAAAGGAGAGCTCATCTCAAAGTCATGAATGGCCAAGGAATGACTATCAAATAATGAAAATAAGAAAGGGCAAAGGGTTAAATCCCCCCCCCCCCCTCCTAAAACTATGTGAAATAGAACATCCGTCAATAGTTGGGGTCACTTGTGCCCTCAGGCTCAATATTGCCATCATACACTTATACACTAATGTACCATGCTTGGGAACACTAATGTCTCTAATTAGAACACTTACGTCTCTAATTAGACTAATTAAAAGACATGTGTCCCCAATTAAACTTTCACCCACTCATCTTCCTTAGCCTTCCTTCCTTCCACAGTTATGGCCTCTGCCTCCTTCATTTCTTTTCCTCTCTCTCTTCACCATTTTTTCAAACCCCAACTTTTTTAGGCTCATCTCTGCATTTTCAGCTGCCACATTACAACACTTCTCTAAATTCTTTAACATTCTTGTTTATGGGTTATCTATGCAACGCAAAATATCATCTAGCTGTTTAGACTTACATCTTATAGAGACAATGTTTCTCTCTAAATAGCTCTTTATGTTTTATACTCAAGCAAATACTGGAGCAAAAAGAGTGATAACTGTGTCATCAAACTAAAAATTAGCTATTCAAATTCGGTAATACTAAAACGTTAGAGCTTACAGTCGTCATAACTAAGAAAACTCACTCTAGCAAAAACAACTGAACCGGGCTGAGGAACAGCTCCATGGGCTTTATGACCAGTAACTTCCACTGTTGGTCTCTGATGATTAAATATTGACAAAATAGAGGAAAACATCGATCGTCAACAGAAAGTGATGAAAACCACATAATTATAGATTAGTCTACTAAGATTCAGAAGAAAACCTGGTCAAGAGAGTCAGAAGGCGGAGGTGTGAGAGAACGGAAACCGGTGAGAGAGGCGTAAACGGTGTCGTGTTCGGTTGAAACGTAAGCTCCTTTACCGGCTTTCAACTGTGACGCTTTACCCAATACTTGTCCCGGCGTCACCGCCTCTTGAGTTTCAGTTTCCATTGCTTTCGTCATTCTCCAGCAACGGCTACAAAACGCAGCCCTCTCACGAGTAGTGTGTGAAAAACTATTTGGGGTTTTGCAGTGTTATAAGTCCATGTGGTGTGGTTGTTAAATTTCTATTTTGTACGCTATATTTAAGCCTTTGATTCTTGGTTTCTAAGCCAAGGGTGGGGCTAATATCTAGGGTTTAAGTTTAAACAAAGGAAAAAAGTTGAAAATTAATTCATTTCCTTTCATCGGTTTGTTTTGATAGATGAAATAATATGATAGCTGTGTGTAGTCCTATACTAGTACTAGTGAAATAATTTGCTCGTTTCCTTTCTTTTGATGGACGAATAAGTGCTAGTAGTGAAAGAAGAAACAAAGAGATGGTGTAAAATAGATTGAGATTGGTGAGGTGGCATGTGATTTCTCCAAAATGTTAATGTCACATAAGGTTGATTATCTACCTTGGACAGTCCTAACAAATGACGCATATATTTGAACTACTTGGATAACGCTAAGTGTAATTTTTGTATGTGCTATATAATGAAGGATATAGTTGTTCTCTTTCACATAGTAAATAAAAAAAATTGGCCCTTCTTCTATCAAACAGGTTGGATTTTTGTATTTAACATAATTAACTACACAAGCTACCTATTAAAATAAAAATACCCGTTTAACTAAAACTAATTACCAGCCTAGCCATTCCCAATCTTCTTTGTGATAACCTTTCCTTCCCATTTTAAAGATCCACAACCATGTAAATACCACCATAAACCTCTATCGTCGCCGCCGATAATACTACACCGTGATAATCTTCTATTCAACAGTTTATCAATCATTATCACATAAAAATAGTGGATGTAATTTCAGATCTGAAGAAAAAATAATTGAAACTCCATATGAATGAGTTCAAACTGCCATATATGAATTTTTTGTAGTATTTTGCTGTTGAAATTCGTTAGGTATTGTTCATTGATGTGTAGACTGTACCTTTGATGCTGATTTTTGGAGATTTATTGTAAAAAAATTTAATTCACCATTAAAGGATGTTGAAGCTTGAAACTCATAAACTTGATTTGTTGAGTTTATAATTGTTTCGATCTGATTCTGCATGGGACTTGTTTGAAAAGTTGATTGAAGGTTGTAGCTAAAGTTAAAGCCACTTTGGTGGAGATTTTAAAGTAGACTTTTGAAATTTGAATTGTAATACAGTTGAACTAGCAAAGAAAACGAATTTGTATTGTACACCAAATGATATACAAATATAGTATTTTGATATACAATTCATTCCTATAGTATACTGTTACTGTATACAATATAATGTAACATTGTACTGTTATATATTTTGGTCTTTTTAAACATTTTGAAAATTCTCTTCAACGAAGTTCTCATGTTATTTCAAATTTTTTCTTAAGCCAAAATACTTAGTTTGAATATTAATTGAAGGTTGTGACTAAAACATGAATCAATTTGGTGAAAAATTTGAGTAGAAATTTGATATTTAGGTCGATATTGAGTAGAACTAACGAAGAAGATAAATTGTACTGTATACCAAAATGGTATAAAAATATACTATTTTGGTTTATAATTTATTCCAATATTATATTGTTATATTATACAATATAATGTAGCAGTATACTGTTATAATTTGGTCCTTTTAAATTTTTTTGAAAATTTCATTGGTTCCTTTTTCAATTTTTCAAAGGAGTTCTCATGTTTTTTCAATTTTTTTCTTAAGCCATAATATTTAGTTTGAATATCGATTGGAGGTTGTGGCTAAAGTTAGAATCAATTTCGTAAATTTTTGAAATTTAGGTTGAAAATGAGTTGAACTGTCACGACCCAATTCCCGCTATAGGCCGTGATGACGCTCAAGTAGACAAGTATGAAACATGATAAGTAAATGTAACGACCCGACCGGTCGTTTTGCTTTCTAGATCAACGTTCTCCTAAATAAGACTCCCCACATGTGCTTTTACTGTTTTATGACTTACGGGGATGGTTTAGTTTGGGTTTGGAAGGGTTCGGGTTGAAATTGGAACACTTAGTTCCTTATTATTGGCTTAAAAGGGTTCAGTTTGACTTGGGTCAATATTTGTAGTAAACGTTCTCGGAATCGGCATTTGATGGTCCCAATAGGTTCGTATGATGATTATGGACTTGGACGTATGTTCGAACAGGGTTTTGAATGATCCGGGAGCGTTTCGGCGCTTAATATTGAAAGTTGGCACATTGAAGGTTTTTCAAGATCTTTAAATTTGATTTGAAGTTGGTTTTGGTGTTATCTAGGTCCCTTTGAGATACCGAGCCCAGGAATAGTTTTGTATGGTGATTTAAGAATTGCACGCAAAATTTGGTGCCATTCCGAGTAGTTTAAGCATGATTCGGCGCGTTCAGAGCAAGTTGGAAGAACTTGAAGTTCATAATCTTAGTTTTGGTGTTGTTTTCTGTGTTTCGAGAGGTCGAGCTGGTCCGTCTTATGTTTACGAACTTGTTGGTATGTTTGGGCGGGGCCCCGAGGGCTTCGGGTGCCATTCGGACGATGCGCGAACCAAGTTGGACTTAATAGAGTGTTGGTGCACCAGTTCTGGTGCGTCCGCACCTGCGAGATTTTTACCGTAGATGCGAGTTTTTGACTGAAGAAGCAGCCTCGCGTGGACTGCCCAGTGATAGCAGAAGCAAGGCAGTGACCGCACCTACAAAAGCGCAGGTGCGAGACAGGCGACCACAGAAGCGGGGAAAGGTCGCAGGTGCGACACAAACGCTGCAGAAGTGGGCTCGCAGAAGTGAGCCGTTGTCCGCAGAAGCGAAAGTAGGCCAGCTGGGGAGGGGCTGCAAATGCGATGCATTTTCCGCAGATGCGAAGCCGCAGAAGCGGCCGATTCCTGCAGAAGCGGAAATCGCTGGAGGCAGAAGGGTTCATTTAAGTCGGGACTTAGGCCATTTTGGTTCATTTATTTCACTTCTTGGGCAATTTTTGGAGCTTCTTAGAGAGGGGTTTCCACCTAGCTATTGAAGGTAAGTAATTCCTACCCAATGTAAGTTTAATACATAGATTATGGGTAGATTTTAACATGTAAAATTGTGACAATTATGGGTTTAGTTGAAAAACCTAGGTATTGATAAAAATGAGATTTAACCACGAAAATGATTATGAAATTGGGCGAAAATGATATATTTGAGTTCATGAGGCTATGAGTAATAATTATCTTCGAAAATTTCCGGAATCCGGGTAAGTGGGCCCGCGGGTGAATTTTAGGAATCTTCCAATTAGGGGTGGTAATTACCCTAATAGTCAAATTATAAACTTTTGAGTATATATTGACTTATTTATATAATATTTGGCTAGTTTCTGGTTGTTTAGTACCAAGTTGAGGATTTAGAGCGTATTTGTGGACCGGCAGCGAGCTTGAGAACGAGGTAAGTCTCTTGCCTAACCTTGTAAGAGGGAACTCATCCCCTTAGGTGTATATTGTTGTGAACTACTTGTGTGGGGAGCTATGTATGCACTAGGTGACGAGAATCCATGCGTAGCTATATTCTATGAGTTGTCCGGGTGGTCTTAGGTTTACATCATGTATTAATTGTACTGTCATGTTTGTTATGCATATTAAGTATCTTGAATAGAGCTGAGACTAGAGATTTTAAAGTTGAAAACTTCCAAGTTAGATTTCTTATTTTGGGGGAAAGAATTGAAGAATATTTATGGATCTAATGCTTCGATCAAAAAAGAAATTGGAGCTCATTTGCTTAATGTGGTACCATTTATGCTTGAAGAAACGACGTCGAAACATAAAAAACGAGCGCAACACAATCCAAGCATATCCAAAACTCACCCGAGCCCCTCAGGATCCCCTCCAAACATACCAACAAGTCTCATAACATAAGACGTACTTACTTGAGGCCTCAAATCACGCGTAACAACATCAAAACCACGAACCACACCTCAAATCGAACTTAATGAACTTTGAATCTTTCAACTTCAAAAACTCGTGTCGAACCTTATATCATCAACTCGGAATGAACTCAAATTTCGCACACAAGTCCCCATTGACATAACGAAGCTATTCCTTTTTCTGGAACCACAATCCGAACCCGATATCATGTCAACTCCCGGTCAAACTTATGAACATTCCAAACCTTCAAATTTCTAACTTTCGCCAAATGGTGCCAATACCTTCTAAAAATATCCAAATGCAAATCCGGGCATACGTCCAAGTCCAAAATCACCATTCGGACCTAACATAACCATCAAAACTTTGATCTGAGGTCAAGTACCGAAAATGTCAAACTTGGTCAACTCTTCCAACCTAAAGCTTCCTAATTGAGAATTATTCTTCCAAATAAATTCCGAATAACCCGAAAACCAAAACTGACGATTCACACAAGTCGTAATACATCATAGGATGCTGCTCAAGACTTCAAATAGCTGAACGAAATGCAAATGCTCAAAATGACCCGCTGGGTCGTTACATTCTTCCAAACACTCCTTGTCCCAATAAGATAGTGCAAATATCAGGTCTAGAAACCTCATCTCAGCCAATGCAAGCAGCCCAGCCGACAAGTCACACCAAAAGCCATATAAAGCTACACACAACATGGTCCGTACACCACATAAGTAATAATTCAGATATGATAGATAATAGTAAGATGGTTAAATAAGAAGGATGCTAAGCAAGTTAAGCAGGCGGGGTAATTTTAACATCTTCCTATGAACTATTTTCCACAAAGTGAAGGCAAAACACATGAATTAAGCATAAGGAATTATATCTCATCACAATATTGTTGCACAACCCGATCCCACACACTACCGTTGAGGCATGCAACGCGATTCAACCATATCAATCCACATAGGGGGTACCAATCGAGTCATAATGCTCAGTCTCACTAATCATATGTGCGTAAACATCAAGCACGATAGAGTGTACAAATATAACTGTGGGAAGGTGACTAGGCATAAAACAATACTGATAAAGACAAGAACAACTATGGTGCAATAAGCAAATCAACGTTATGAGTACCATCTCGCCTATAACGCTATAAGGCCTAAATGGAATTACAATATACAAGCGAATAATCATGCAACCTCACAACCCGTCATAGCATAGGAGAGAAACACATGACATAGTCCAGGGTGTGAATAACATCCATCTCGCTCGATGATATACATGTGGTAACAGTTGCGTAAGAGCAAGAAAATCTGATACAAATTCTCATTCGGCCAACAAATAGCCCCTAACCAATATTGATCATTCCCAAATAGGTAAATAACCCT